AAAACATCATGCTGTGGGTCCCTATGGACATTGCAATGACTGCAATTCCTCATCCTTCTGGAGGCTCCTGAAAGGACAAAGTGAGGGTTGCTGCATTTGAAGAGCAGCCAGTTGTAAAACTTGGAAAGAAGAGAAACTGAGTGCATGGGATTATGAAGGGCAGAGAAACGGCTTTCTTTGATAGTACATGGGTGTGAAAACTGTTGTGAAATGCTCTGCCATTTTACCACCAGGCAATTGGAGCTGGTCCAGAAGCCTTGACTACATATCAGCTCTCAGCAAAAAAATGACATTCTGTACTTCATGGCATGCAGAGAAGAACAGGGAGTATTCCTTTTTTTATTTGTTCTGTTTTAAATGCTCACTTTTAATCTTAGAATGTCATCTAACATTCCTTTCTTATCTCTGTAGCTCATTTTATGTGTAGAGGAATAGTATTGGTCAGATATTTTAAAGTTATCGCACGTCAAATGACTATTTTAATCTTTAATCAAGTCTTTCTCAGTTCAGAATACTTTTAATCATTGCAATTAAATAAAAAGCAAAAACAAAACAAAACAAAACCAAAAAGAAAGACAGAAAGATAGTTGCTTCCTCAATCTCAACATTTTAAGACTTTAAGCAGCATGAGAACCTTTCTCTTGACCACAGAAATATATTACATATATTGCTGGATATTACAGCAGGAGTCTGCACCATTCCCACTTGAATTTGTCAGTGAAAACGCAGAAACATTTTCCCCTTAATACACTGCAGAGAGTGGGCTTGAAGGACAACCTGTGTACATATTCACAGAATCACAGAAACACAGAATTCATAGTAGAAGACACATTCCTAGTAGAAGACACCAATTGTATGGCATACATGTGTGTATTTTTTATTTCAAACTGCAGATACATCCCCTTGCAGCCAACCAGGAAGACAGGTGGGTTTCTACAAGCAGCTCAAAGTGTAGTCACCCCTGATTAAAACAAGCCTCCTCCTTGTCCTTCATTCTGCTTTCACTCTGCTGCCCTGGGTGTATTTCTCATTCCACAAATTCCCTTGAGACCGGATCGAATCTCTAATGAAAACAGCAAGTGGAGCATGAGCAAAACATTCTCCTTCCATACCAGACATTTACCAGTCCTTGAGCACCAAAGCAGGGCAGAGCCCCAGCGTTTCTGACTCTGCTGTGGTGCAGATGCATAGATGCAACCAAATGACCCTGGGTATGGAGGACCATCCACAGAGCTGCATAAACCCCAGTGCTGAGGGTCACAGTGATTCTAGGGAGTAGAGATGGGTGCAGCATGTGGTTTTCAAGGGGTCCTGTGAATTAGCTTTGAAGGAAGGACAGAATTGATCCAGGAGGGATCTCATGGGCCAAGAGAGCGTAATCCTGGCAGAGCTGCGAGGCAAAGCTTGTGGGGACAGTGCCTTGTTCCAGCCCATGATCTCCCAAATGATTATGCCACCCAGAACTGTTGAATGACAGGATGGGAGTGAGCTGTGTCAAGATGGCATGGCATGAACCCGCCTTCACCAACCTTGCTCATCCAGCCTTGCCCAGGGTGCGTGGCAGGCGCAGCTACCTTAGGGAGATTTCATAATCAGGGAGCAGGCATTTTAGTTGCTTTTAGTGAATTCTCAGTGACTTAATGCCTGGCAGAGCAGAGCAGGCTCCCCCTCTGCCTGTTTTGAGAGTGAAAAGCCTCACTGCACAACACAATATGTGTGTGCATGGAAGAAAAAGGAATGTGGCTGTGCAGGGTGGGTGAGCAGCAGATAATCCTTCCCCAGCTCTGTTATACTAGCTTAGTCTTCACCTCCCTACGTCTCTCCCTTGGCCCTATTAAAGCTACTATCTGAGCATCTCTTAATATACTAGACCTGATAACATCTTTACGAGGCAGAGGCATGGAGAATCCATGTAGCTTGCCTTGGGTCACTAGGAAAGTGCAAAAAACAGCCACGATCTTTTGGACTTTCAACAATAACAGCTCAAGAGGCCTTTCTATGCTAAAGCTGTTCTCCAGCATGGTCAAAAACTTTTAGTCAGCAGCAGCAAAGCAGGTTGAATTCAGGAGACCTTGGTGATCTTTTCAGACCAGGTACAGACACTGGCATATTTCCTGCTGGGCCAAAGGCATTGCTGCATACCTTAATCCATAATAACTACAGTCTAATAATGTCTAATACTACCAGTAGAAAATACAACACTATAGCAATAGTACAAGTAATACTATTTTTTTTGACTGTGTAAATATCTATGCCCCTAGTATTTCCTACTTTGAAAATCATAGAAAAACAGCTATTCTGGACCTGACTTTCTTCAGTTTCTCCATCTGTAAGACATAAACCTTCTGGAGAACTGTATGTTTAAACTGAGTCCATCAAGCATCTGCAGCCCTTGCAAAAAAAAAAAGGAAAGCATCCATTTTAAATATCCAACTATTTATTATTTAAATGAATGAACCACAGTTGGATCCTGGAGGCATAGAAGTCTCTTGCATTCATGATGGACTGAGTTGTTTGAAGAGACTGTTCTTGATTTCACACCTTCTGGTAAGTGCAGGAAAAAAGATGAGGGAGAACTGATAAAACTGATTAGCCAACAGTGCTAAGAAACAGCTTGCCTAGGGTGGTGGCAGGTGAAAAACCTTGCTTTTCAAATTAATGTTGTGATTGTGTCTGACCTGCCAAGAAACTCTCAGTCCATTTTTTCCGGTGCCTGGAGAGTAGGTTGACCTTCAGAAAGGGTTTGCTTATTTGTGTGCTGCCAGGTCACCTGCACTTGCTGACAGCAGTTGCTGAAAGGAACAGGAGGAACTAAGTCCTGTTTGCGGATTTTTTTAGGGGGTTTACGAGGACGGCCTTTTCGTCAAGGTGTGGTGACAGCATCTTGGAATACTGTCTTCTTCCCGGTCCTGCCCTGGCCCAGCCCTGGTTCTGACCCACAGCTGAGTCATCTCTCCATTTCAGTTTTCCACCTCCTAACCCTTCCCAGAATTTGAAGGGATGTTTTTGAGTTTGCTTGCCAGTGACCTGAATGGGCAGTGTAGTGTTAGGCTATTGCAAGTACTATGCTCTTCATGCACCGAGTGACTGCAGTGCCACAGGTCCATCCACACCATGCACATCAGGGACTTTCTGCTATGCTCTTCTCTCTGCCTATCCCAGTAATGGCCTCTTGCAATTGCATCTTCTCTAGGCTAAACTATCTAATCTTTCCCCACCTCACTGCATGCAAAAACTTCTATATCTACATCTAGATCAAGAGAGGGGAAAATAAGGCCTATATCTCAAAGCCTCAATACCAGGTACATTCAACCCACCTGTAGACTCCTCTCACTTGGAAGGAGGAACTAGCCCTTTGGCCCATAGGTCTAGATATTGGCTAACATGTTTTGGCCATTCCCGAACAGTTAAGCTCCCAGTTTCCCAATAGGGTCATTGTAACCAACCTACCTGTTGGGAATGGTCGCTAGATGTGCTAGTACCTACCTGCCTGGCAAATGGTTGAGAAAGTAGGTCCAGAGCAGTAGTGTGTCAGGAACCTTCTTACATCACAAGAATATAGTTGACAGAGCTCCCATTGCTCAGCACTGTCTGATTTAATAGTATAGACATAATCATAAGCCCTTATTTTGGGGAGTTCTATCATAATGTGCCCTCATTATACCCATGAGAGGTAATAGTGTACACATCCCTGTCCCTTTAGCTAAGGACATGTTGTCCATAGACTGTCAACCTGGTGAAGATCTCAGAGCTTGGAGGAGACTCCTGCTTGATATTTGGCCTCTTCTTGCCCTTTTAAACATGAACGTGGGCAGAGTCTTCTAGGTCTGAACCTGAGAACAAGGTGGGAGAGGAGGAAGAGAGGACTTCTACAAATGTCAACATATGGGAAAGTGGGCCAGAAGGCTTAGTTTCAAAGAAAGGATGGGTAGTATGACCTTCCACTAGGTGAGCATCAGTCTTGGGCTGAAAGGGCACAGACAGAATCATTTGTGAGAAAGAAAGTGAAGCAGCAGCAAAGTATGCTGGTGGTAAGTACTAAGAAGCACTACCATAGTATCTGCTGCTATTTGAAAGAACAGAGCTGACCTGCCAGCCAACCGAGCTCAGTTCCTAGCCTCTGGCTGCACACTTCTCAATCTTCTTTGGATTTGTCATGCAGAACACTACCCTGCCTAATGGGATCACAGTGTAGGGGAAGAACTCTTATTTTTGACCGTTGCTGGCCTGGGTGGCTGTGTTCCCATGAAGGAGCACAACACAACACCACAATCCTTCTGCCATGTCTCATGTTCAAGGTGTACTAGATTTGCAGAGCCTGGACTGGAGAGGTCAGTCCAGGCAGCTCGTCCTCCATGCATAAAGTGATTGTGCCGTGAGGGGTACAATGTCATGAGCCCTCCCTTTCAATGACTGAGACTCAACAGGCTTGCTAGAGCCAGAACATATTGCCTCCAGGGTCCCATATCCTCCCTCTGCCAATAACCAGACTGGCTGCGTATGAATTGGTTCATTCTGGATTGCCCTCTGGGGGAACCCCTTCCCCAAATGCTGCAATCAGCAGCTCACTAATGCCTTGTGTCCCAAATATTTACATGCTTTTTATGCTCCGCAATAGCGGATGGAGTCATTATCCTCTGACATTTGATTGACTTCTCCCAGATTGTGATGCAAGGCCTTGTCCCATGGCTGTGGATCCCCATGTGGGGACTGACCTTTGACCACATGTGCAACATACACACCTGGGGATGAGTCAGGTTGTAGGAAGTTAGTTATATACAGGCAACATACACGCATTTAATTCAGCAATTAATGTATTAGTTTTTAGGTATATAACACATACATAGAGAAATAAAATAACAGTCACAAAGAAGCTATCATAAGACAAAGATCTGCCCTCATCTTGTGTGCCCAAGACAATACATTGCTCCAGGCTACAGTTTCTGCTGTAACAGAAGGGCTCCAAGGTTTTCTATGGCCATGGGAGTCTCTTCTGCTTCTCACAGTCTGTTGTCCAGGAAGGTCCAGAGCATGCTGCCTGATATCACAGCTGCCATCCCATAGCTGCACCTCACACTGCTCACTGCATTGACATTGCAGAGGTCACTGCTGCAGCAGGAGATATTCCTGCTCCCCACGGTGAGGTCTTGATAAGATACCTCACATGACGAAGCACAGCCTTTACTGATGACGTTGAAGAGCTTCAGGATTCCTGGAAGGACGGTAGGACCATTACTCCAAGGCCTCAATGCAATGTTATCCAATCCAATGCTCACAGAATGGAATTATGAAATGCTATTCCTTACTGAGGTGGCTGCAGGGAAAATATGAATGTTTCCAAGCAGTTGCTTAACTGTTGCATATTGAATTTTGAGTAACAGTTTGTCACGGAATGAAGGGATCCAGTCCCTCAGTGCTTGTTTAGGCCAGTATATTCACAGTTCTAGTCAATTTCTAGGACAGCATCAACTAACGGTAATGATAATAATATATCTAATAATTAAAATCACCATTAACTGCCCTGTGTGGGATCCTATGCTAGTTCATGAGAAGGAGCAAGAATGAGAGCAAATCTTTGCTGCTATCTTATATGTCTTTTTTTTTTTGCACAGAGCCATCTTATCACCCAAGACTGGATGTACAGAAACACAATTATCCTCATTCCACAGAAAAAAAGTTACTGTTTGGTTTCTTTCTGAGAGGCCTTTTTTTTGATGTTTGTTGTTTTATTGTTGTCTGTTGCTAGACATGGCTGCTGGTCAGGTTAAGGTAGGTCTCATGATTATTTCACGGGATTCGCTGGTCTTTCCCAATTTAATCAGGGCACCAATTCTTTGACATGCACAGATTTACTGCACAGGGCCAGCAAGTTGTAAGATGTGTTGGCTCTCCTCCTTGGAAAAGCATGACCTTGAGTCAGCTTGTCCATTGAATGCCCCTAGAGTCAGCTCCGTCACTGAATTCTCCTTCTAAACCCATGGCCAGATTTTACCAGACTCAGCCGCTCATATCAGTTAACACTATGTCTGGCTGTCACCGTCAGCCAAGTTGCCCTGAGAGAAATGCTACACTCACTTTAACCCATATTTCTGTCTTTACAGAAGTACTAGCTCAGCTATTGTCCTTGCAAGTAAAACCTTGGGTGTTACGGAAGAGAAATGAGCCTATTTTTGTGTAAGTAAGAGACATTGCCTAGACATCGCCTATCCACACCTTGCCTTACCAATAACATCGGTCCTGCACATTTCTGAATCCTTACAGTCCACAGACGTCTTACAGTTGGCATTGCTGACCTGTGCTGTGCAGCTGTAACATTTAAAAGAAGAACCTGCAAGAGGGCAAGAGAAGATACAGGGTAAATCCAACTGGAGCTCAGTGGCGACCCAAGACATCTCAAAACCCCTGGTCTTTCCATTTTCAGTGAAGAAGGATGCATATCTCTTATGAGAGATGCACAATTTTTACAAGTACCAGAGTTCTTTCAGATTTAGGTTGTGCAATGAGGAAGCAAGGACCACACTCTTCCCTTGCTCCGATTTTAGAGCTA